AAAAAAAAGGAAAGAAACACAAACACAAAGGTTTAGGATTCTCTATAAAGTACTAGAATAGTTTGAGGGTGTCAGAATCAAGACAAAGTCGCAGAATTTGCTTCCCCCAAATTAAGCTCGTTACAGTACAAAAATGACCAAGTCTTTAATCATAGTACTTACAGACGCTTTATCAAATGTACTGAGCCCGCAACCCATAACAAAGACAGGCAGGCCCTATGAAGGATGTAAATGTGGAAGAAAGTCAGACAAAACGTTCATCACAATAATGTTTTGAATAGAAACAAAAAAACAATAATCAACTTTGATGCAAACATGCAATCCATAAAGCAAGACGCTGAAGGGTTTTGTGTGCCGGCTTTATGGTCGAATGAAATTATAAATACTATTAACAAGATAAACTGTAATTAACAACAAGCACCTCTCTTGAGTAACCTGAAAGTCCTATGAGCTGTGAATCACGTACTGCTCTGTATAAATCAGTTGGAATTATGGGTTTCTGCATAAACCCAAAAAAACAGACATAGATGTAAGTGTTCAATCTTCATAAACCATCACAGATATTAACTAGATTAGCATTTGGCCATGAACAACGGAAAATGCAAAACTTGAATACAAATATACAAGAACATCAACATGTGTATGTGAAAAATAAATCTCGTTGCTGTCAAAACCAGCATGCAAGTTGAATATTGTTTACTTTTTATCCAACAAAACATTTAGGTTGTGAATTAGTCAAAAAGGGCAGCACTTTCAACCCCTAGCCCCTGATTAATAATGCATTGCAATAAGTATCAACATTTCATTAAATGGACATCATAAATAACAGGTTTTCGCCTCGAAAAATTCGTCATAAGTGCAAAAGAAAGCATACCGCTAGCATATTATCAATCTCATTTTGCACCCTCCAATTTAAGCTATCCACCAACTGGAACATTAAACAAGAATCATTAGACCAAAAACAAAGGGCTATCGCAATTGATAGGTAATTATTACATAGAATTCAATTTACACGATTTGCAAATATTTCAAGCAAAAGAGGTCTAACCATTTTATGGGCTTTGGTAACATTCCACTCTCTTGCTTTTAGAAAACGCGCCAAAGTTTCAGGTACATGTCCTTGATGAACATTCTAAAAACAAAAACACAACTGGTAAGAGATTATCCATAGAACTAAGCAACACAACTTCTGGCTTTCTAAGTCTAAAAGACGCGACTTTTCTGGGAAGCTTTGACTATTCGTAAGAGTTTCTAGTCAATAAAACCACAAATAATGGCTTTTGAAGAAAGCTCTTCCCAGAAACTTGTACTAGAACTTCAATAAAGTCGCTTTTTTTTTTTTTTTTTCAAATGAAAAGTCACTATTTTTATTTTTTTTACTCTTCTTTCTCAACTACTTAAAAGCATAAGCAATATTTTATGCAAGTCCAATTTGAAACATTTCAGCAATGATCAAATATTCATGTGCTTATACTTTAAATATTCTTAAACAAACATCGAATTGAATTTCTTGTGCCGAATCAGATCGAAGCCAGAAAACCAGTTATTTCACAGATCAATAGGATCTAAAAATCACCACCTCACAATTTTTTTTTTTTCCCAAATATCATCATCAATAATCAAGGACAAACATGTAATTTCGCATATTTCCAGAGGCGACAAGAGTGAGAATAAAAAAAAAAAAAAAAAGAAAAAAGAAGAGGTAGAAGAGTCTTCAATCAAAGAGCAAATTGGATCGGACAGAGGAGAAAAGGCAGCAAAAGGAAAGTGGAAAAAATTTATAAAAAAAAATGCGAACCTGAAACGTTCTCTTCAAAGGCTCCTCAACTGCCATTGTGATTGCATAGCAGGAAAGTACGAGAAAATTGAGTGAGAAAGTTTGCTAGAGAGAGAGAGAAAAAAAAAAAAAAAAAAAAAAGATGATGATGAACAAGAATACACCTTGATCCATGAGAGCTTCAAAAAGCTTGATCGCTTCCTGAGAAACATTTCCCATTTCTTCTGTTTCTCTCTCAAGCTATTGCAGAAAATGCTTAGTATAAAGCCGATGAGATGAAATGAAAGGGTAAGGCAACCAAAGCCAACCCCAAAATTGCACTACTTTTGTTCGGGTTCTCTGTCTATAGTATTATTTTGACTCGTTTTAACTTTGTACTAATATTGCTAGATTTAGGGGAAAAGACGAAAATTAACAGCAAAAAGCTCTATATGTATACATATATATGTTACATACACATATATGAGAGAGAGAGAGAGAGAGAGAGGTCAGGATTCAAGAAAGACGGACCTACGAGGCACTCACAGCCTCTCTCTCTCCTCCACCTACAAATAGTACTAGTCTCTCTCTCTCACTCCTCCTTTTTATTTCTTTCCTTCGATTCTTCGTGTTTTTTTTTTTTTTTTTTTGTGATAGAGAAAAAAAAATGATAAATTAGGAAACTTGAATATTCAGTACATCCGGTGGTTCCAAAAAAAAAGAAGAAAAAGAAAATGGAACACAAAAGAATATCCCTCAAAATAGGTAAATCATAAAACATTTTTTTCTTTTTTTAATAATCTTAGTTAGTGGTTATTGATTAGCGTCCCACAGTCTGACTTAATTGGAAGGTTGACTTTCAGTCTGATTAAATTTAGCACAAATATTGAAATCGGAGCTCAATTTTGTAGAGTTTAATACTTTGTTTTGACTTTTGATATCTAGATTTACAGGAGTAAAACTTGGTTCATTACAAAAGAATTAACCCCGGATCTAAACTTGTGTTAACTACTTTATACCCAAATACAATTTACATTAAAAGGAGTTTACCACAATACGAATTCAAAACATGCTATTGTCAAAATTGGAAATTGACAAAGAAATTTTGAGATAACAATTTGGTGCCTCTAACTTGCAATTTCTCAATGTCCGCAAGTTGACTATGCCCAACAACAAATACCATTAAACCGTTTGCTTGGTCAAAATTTAGAAAAAAAAAAATTTTTAAAAAAACAAAACTAAAATGAGAATCAAACTATTAAAACTATAAAAAAAATAAAAATAAAAAATAAAATAAAGAAAGGTGACAAGGGGTTGTGTTGCCTTGACTTGGGGGATCCGTTGCATGGGCATTTGGGCTCGTGGTTGTGGGGGTGAGAGAGGCCGAGGTTGTTGTCATAGGCACCGGAACCCTCGGCGTGCTATCATTGGCAACAAGAAGAAGGTCGATGGGCATGTGTAAGTGTGGAGGGAAAAACTTTTGATTTTTTCTCCTTTTTTATTTTTTATTTTTGTTTTGAAAGTATATTTGTTTTTGTCACGCCCCAAACATGGATTAGTGACGTGGAGACTTGTTTAGAAATTTAAATCTGTTTAAAAAAGTGATTAACAATTAACAGTGTAAAAATTAAGTTTCAAATTCAAAGTATTCAGGTATTTCTAAACAAGCCCCACTCTTTATAAGAAATTTAGTTTCAAGAAAAGTTGTGGAAATTCCAACCAAACCAGTTCAAAACATCGCCCTTGGTATCATGTCAGGAATTCTCACAGGTTTAGCATACATGAACATAAACAAAAGTAAATGTTGACATCAACCACAGTCTAGCAATATTTGAGTTTACAATCCATAATTTAATACATGCCTTAAGGTAAATAGGAAGGAAAATGCAAATCTCCACTTCTCGGAGTCGGGTTCACCTCACCGGTAGTAACTACCTATTCAGCACTACTCCTCACGTCGCCTGGAGGGGTTAAATACATTTAAAACAAGAAAAGTGAGCGGAAGGCCCGACAAGATATAATTTTATAAAACATTATAAATAAAAGTACTTACGGTCCGAAGACATACACCTGGAATTGATCATCCTTTTCTAAAAAAGGAACTAATCACGTAATAATAGCAAAATATTTGTATGATGAAAATATGCAAAACCATAATAACACCACTGAGCAAGAAGTGGACCGTACGGGTTTCGGGACCTGCATCTAAGGATACGATTCCCATATCCTGATCTATGTAGCCATCATGCGTTTTATCATTTCTTAAAATATTTCATTTTAAGAAAGAAAACTCTTTAAAATCTCATTTCCAAATTATTGGAAACTCAATAGCATTATTCATGCTATTTCTTTAAAATCATTTTCTCTTTAAACATGTTTTGTTCTAAAACATTTTCATAGGCCAAAATCATTTAAATTATGGCTATCAATGATATAGATAGAATATCCTACCTCTCAGATATCAAACCTGTAGCTATCTTCACGTAACCCTAGCTCCGCTTGTCTTTGAAGCTCTAAATCCAATTGTGCCACTAACTTCGTCATCAAAATTAACGGTTTAGATTTTAATCTTTTCCACTAAATATTTTTGTTTAATTATATACTATTGTATCATATTAGTGTGCCTTAACTTAAAATCAAAGTTTATAAATAATTCTTAATTCAAATCATGATTCTTTGAGAATTGAGATTCGTTCCGAAAAATTGAATGGGAACAAGGATTAATGTGGCTACTCCACTCACTTTGAGTTCTCAAATGAAGTTAGAACGGTTCTACATCGAGTTTCAGGGTTAAAATAGGGTTTTTGAACTGTTTAGGGTCAGACTTAGTGTGAACCAATCGACCGGTGACAAAGGAGTGTAACTCCACCAGTCGGCCAGTGAAGTGATGACCGGTCGACCGGACTGGTCGACCGGTGGGGAAAAATTCCAGGGCCAAAAATTACCAACCCGCGGGAAACGAAGCCAAATTCTGCAATTTCGGGTTCAATTTCAACATATTCTCAAGAGAAATTTGTAAAACCAAGTTCCAATTAACAAATGGGGTTCAAAGAATAAAAATCCCCTAAATTTCATCAAGGTTTTTGAACTGTTTAGGGTCAGACTTAGTGTGAACCAGTTGACCGGTGACAAAGGAGTGTAACTCCACCAGTCGGCCGGTGAAGTGATGACCGGTTGACTGGTGGGGGAAAATTCCAGGGCCAAAAATTACCAATCCGCGGGAAACGAAGCCAAATTCTGCAATTTTGGGTTCGATTTCAACATATTCTCAAGAGAAATTTATAAAACCAGGTTCCAATCAACAAATGGGGTTCAAAGAATAAAAAAAAAACCCCTAAATTTCATCAAGGTTTCATCAAAACCCATTCAAAAATAAAACTAAACTAAAATCACTAAACTCAACTAAAACGAGTTCCACAAGGCTAGATCTGAAAATTTGAAGTGAGTTTCAAAGAGTTTTACCTTGATCTAGGGTTTGATGTTGAAAACTTCTTAGAAATCTCCGTTTTCGGTTCAAATCTGGCCCAAAACTTCTTGAAGAGAGAGAAAACTTGAGAGAAAGAGAGAGGAAGAGAAATGAGCGAGTGAGAGAGACCGAGAGAGTGTGAGATGAGCGAGAGAGAGAGAGAGAGACCGAGAGAGAGATGAGAGGGAGAGAATGAGAGAGCTACGGGAGAAGAGAGAGAGAAATAGGAAAAGAAAAGAAAAAAAAAGAAAATAGGAAAAAAGTGATAAAGAGAGATAAATAAAAGTAAAAAGGGGGTGAAAACATGTATTTTCACATACTTCCGAGGTAAAAATTATAAATACTAAAAATAAGTTTAAAAGTTATTGATTAATTAAGAAAAATAAATATAGGCACACTAATAAACTAAAATTAACATAATTAAACATGTTTAATTTTTGAGGGCGTTACAGTTTTACATTTATTTTGTTTAATTTTTTTAGTCGATTAATATAGATTAATGTGAGTTGCTCTGATATTTCCTCCCCCCTTTTCAAATTGAGAACCCACGCATTACAAGTTAAAAAGTTTGAAAACCTATCGTGTAAATTTCGATTAAAAAGACATTTAGACGGAAAATTCTAGATCAGTCGCATGCAAAAATTGAATTTGATATGTTTGTGGGCATATAACTCAAACAATTCCACACGACTCTGATTCATGTAATTGAAATAAAAGTCAATGATGCTTAATGTTCCTCCTTTTCTTTTTCCCCCTCCTTTGAGAGAATAATAATTCCTCAATATTCCACCAGATATTTCTTTTTACATACTTTTTAGTTTTAAGGGGTATACAAGTTTTAAACGGTCTATTATTTTCTTCCTCTTTTTTTTTTTGGTTTGGGTAGTTGGGCAACCTTGTTCTTTACTCTTTAGTAGGGTAGAAAATAAGCTTCCAGTTTTATCTTCATTTTAAGAAATACGATGGTTTTCCACTTTCTTTGTCTTTCTTTTTTTTTTTTTTTAGGGAATTTTTCCATTCAAATAAAGCCCCACGTTTTCCCGCTCCATTAAGTTTTCTGCATTCAAATAAAATCATAAATTACTGTTGGAGAAAAAAAAATCATAGAAGATATACTGAAGCCCCGTTCATTTTGCTGATTCGAGTTTTGCTACAGTAAAAAGCTCTCACAAACAATCACATCTAACTTTTTTGCTACAGTAAAAAGCTCTCACATAAAATCACATCTCAACTCGAATTAAAAACTCGAAT